GGTACGGGGTTTGTCTACATCAGCTTGTTAGGTACGGGCAGAGTATTGGCTATGAAGAGGTTTATCTTGCCATCGCTTCTGTATCCTATTATTATTATTACTATTATCATTTTTATTTTCTTTGATTTCTGGCGTTTACTCATTTCTTTCCGGGTCCCGCCCAGGGACCTCAGGTTAGAAATGGCGTCATGACACTTTCCACTGACAAAAAAAAAATGAATTAAATTACATAGATAAAGCCCTTCGTAAGGTGTGGGCTGTACTTGTCAGAACAATTTTTTGTATCTCCTTGAGGCATGGACTTCCAGGAATCCCTTCAATTAGTCTACTGCAATCTTTTCCAACCAGTCCTAGGGCTCCAACTACAACAGGGATTGTTGATGTTCCCATATGCCACATTTTCGAGATTTCTATTTCAAGGTCCTTGTACTTTGACAACTTTTTGAATATCTTCAAAGATACATTGCAGTCAGCAGGGACTGCCATGTCAATAAGGTTGGCCTTGATTGTTCTGTCAGTGTGTATTGTGTAGTCCCATAGAATTGTAACAGGTCCTATCTCCGTAACCGGGTCTGGGTGGTGTTCATACCAGTTTCTTTCAGTTTCCTTCCCGTAGAAGTTGCAGATTTAGTTTCCTTCCCGTAGAAGTTGCAGATTATTATTATTATTATTATTATTATTATTATTATTATCATTATCCTGTCCCTGATAACTGTAGCTTCATCATCTTCTGTTACCATTTACTACATGTCAAATCAGAATAGTAAATGTTGGAAACTAAATATAATAAAAGATTCATAAATCACTTTATAGGCAGGTTTGGTTGATTTGTATTTTTTTGGTTTTTTTTTCCGGCTAAAAAAACCTTTTAAAGATTGTTTAAAACCAGCAAATATTTTTAGATTAAAGGAATTTTTTTGAGTTAATAATGATTTCTAGTTGGAGAAGCGAAAAGGTTGATCCATAACTTCCCCAAGAGTGAATTATATATAATGGCTGTGATTATAATTTGACTCGCCGTAATCCATTATGCCTAACAGCACATCCAAGCTTACTCTATCTGGTATTCCCAAGCGGTCACCCATCTAGGTACTGACTAGGCTCGAGGTTGCTTAACTTCGGTGATCAAGGTACTGTCAACTGCAGTGAAAGTACGAGAATTGGTGTTTCAACGTCATAGGGCCGTAAGTCCATTATACAACTTAAACCTCCAGCTTACAGCAACTGGTATTCACAAGAACTCACCCATCTACATAGAGACCAGGCTGGACGGTGCTTAACTTCGGTGGTCGTTCGAGAACTCATGTTTCAACGTAATGTGGCTGTAAGTTCATTATACGACCTACATTGCTTATAGCACCTGCTATTCGTAAGCAGTCACCCATCTAGATAGTGAAAAGGCTCGACGTCGCTTAACTTCGATAGTTGCGCGAGGACCGTTGTTTGTAAGTGTGTGTGGTATAATGCGCTGTTAGTACATTATACCACTTGAACCTCCAGCTTGCAGCAACTGGTATTCACACGAAGTCACCCATATAGGTAGGGACCAGCATGAACGTTGCTTAACTTCGGTAGTCGTTCGAGAACTAGTGTTTCAACGTAATGTGGCTGTAAGTTCATTATGCGACCAACACATCCAAGCTTATAGAACATGGTACTCGCAAGCGGTCACCCATCTAGATAGTGAAAAGGCTCGACGTCGCTTAACTTCGATAGTCGCGCGAGACCGGTGTTTGTAGGTGTGTGTGGTATAATGCGCTGTTAGCCCATTATAACACTCACACCTCCAGTTTACAGCGCCTGGGGTTCCCAACCGTTCACCCATCTAGTTAGGGACCAGGCTCGACGAGGCTTAACTTCGGTGGTCGTACCAGGACCGGGGTTTCACCGTGATAAGGTTGTCAGCCAATTATTCCACCCATCACCAATTACAACTGAAATTAATGTCCTCATGTGCCATATTTTTTTAGATTTGCACTTCAATATCCTTATATTTTGATAGTTTTTGGGGCGTTTTTTTTCACCTTCAAAGAATCATTACAGTCAATAGGAAAGCACATTCTGTTTTTGTGGTCTTCAATCACGATGTTTTGGGGATTGTTCTGTGTGTACGGTAAAGTACCTTAAAATTGTCACAGGTCTTATCTCAGTAACCGGCTTTAGGTGATGTTCATATAAGTTTCTTTGCAGTTTTCTTCTGGTAAAGTTGCAGTTCTCTTCTGGTAAAAGTTGCAGTTTTCTTCTGGTAAAAGTTACAGTTTTCTTCTGGTAAAGTTACAGTTTTCTTCTGGTAAAGTTGTAGTTTTCTTCTGGTAAAGTTGCAGTTTTCTTCTGGTAAAATTTGCAGTTTTCTTCTGGTAAAGTTGCAGTTTTCATCTGGTAAAAGTTTCAGTTTTCTTCTGGTAAAAGTTGCAGTTTTCTTCTGGTAAAAGTTGCAGTTTTCTATTTCAGATATTGGCTTATACTATCATGTCGATCTCCCCGGAGCCTACCGGTCATTAACATTTTGGGCGCCTCGGCGTGGTGTAATGGTTAACAAGCTTGTCTCACTAGATCAGTTACAACTGAAAAGTGAGTTCGATCCTCACTAGATGCCCCATACTTTCGGCCTTGTGCCACATCTAAGCTATGCTTGGAAAATAACTATACTATCATGTCGAGTTTTATCTTCAGTAGGTGCCAATACCGTGCAACCTGATAAAAGATGGGCAATTGTTTCTGGATATTTATCACAGAATCTGTATTTCGGGTTAACATCATTTCTCAGTAATTGGTACTACAGTGTTTGGTAATTTCTAGTTAGCAGGCATTGGTCCTGTGCATCAAGAATAAAATATTCAGTTTTTAGGTCTTAACCCTGCACTACGGCCTTTGTCTACGTCAGCATGTTTGGTTCGGGCAGAATACTGACCGTAAATGGGTTCATCTTGCCACTATTTCTCTATCTGGTCGGTTGCCTTTGCTTTCTTTATTTAAAGTATTTTGCAGCTGCTGTTGGTGTATTATGCTTTACTTGCATTTCTTCACCCATTTGAAACTCTATTTTGAACATGGTGGCTTCCTTTATTATTGAATAAAGTTTCTTACGTCTTTCATATTCTTTCACATAGACCCTCATCCTTATTATTATTATTTTTTATTTTCTTTGATTTCTGGCGTTTACACATTTCTTTCCGGGTCCCGCCCAGGGACCTAAGGTTAGAAATGGCATCATGACACTTTCCACTGACAAAAAATAAAATAAAATAAATTACATAGATAAAGCCCTTCGTAAAGTGTGGGCTGTACTTGTACAATTTTTTGTATCTCCTTAAGGCATGGACTTCCAGGAATCCCTTCAATTAGTCTACTGCAATCTTTTCCAACCAGTCCTAGGGTTCCAACTACAACATTATTATTATTATTATTATTATTATTTTCCTGTCTCTGATAACTGTGGCTTCATCATCTTCCGTTACACTTTATTACATATCAAATCAAAATAGAAAATAATGGAAACTAAAAATAATAAAATATGTATAAACCACTTTATAGCAGGTTTGGTTGATTTGTTTTTTTGTTGTTGTTGTTTTTATTTTTGTTTTTGTTTCTTTCCCGGCTAAGAAACCTCTTGAAGATTGTTTAAAACCAGCAAATACCAGTCCTAGGGCTCCAACTACAACAGGGATTGTTGATGTTCCCATATGCCATATTTTCGAGATTTCTATTTCAAGGTCCTTGTATTTTGACAACTTTTTGAATATCTTCAAAGATACATTGCAGTCAGCAGGGACTGCCATATCAATAAGGAGGCATCGTTTTTGTTTGTGGTCTTTAATAACAATATCTGGGCGGTTGGCCTTGATTGTTCTGTCAGTGTGTATTGTGTAGTCCCATAGAATTGTAACAGGTCCTATTATTATTATTATTATTATTATTATTATTATTATTATTATTTTTTTATTATTATCATTTTTATTTTCTTTGATTTCTGGCTTTTACACATTTCTTTCCGGGTCCCGCCCAGGGACCTAAGGTTAGAAATGGCGTCATGACATTTTCCACTGACAAAAAAAAAAAAGAATTAAATTGCATAGATAAAGCCCTTCGTATGTTTGATTGGTGGTGTTCTTTGCTGGATTTTCGAGTGCAGTGAAGAAGGATGTCATGACCTGTCGATACTCTTCGCGGCTCCATTTCGTTCGTTTACTTTTTATTAGTCGATTTGGTATTGTGTCACTTGGTCCAAGGTTGGCAATAATCCGGGTTTGGTGACCAAGTGTGTTTTCGTGTGTGGAAGAGTTTGTTCCAGTGACAGACTTTTCGTCCTCAGACTGGTTCCTCTCTGAGCGACGCGGCCCTTGTTGTCCCGGTTGACGGCCGATCCGGTATGAAATAGTATTCGTATTCATTGAAATTGGTAGAGATGCGTTTTAACCTTGACCGCCAAGGGGTAATTATGTTCAGGTTACCAGCTGTAGGGCGAGTCTCGAAAAAGATTATTATTATTATTATTATTATTATTACTATCATTATTATTATTATTATTATTATTACTATTAATATAATTATTATTACTATTACTATTATTATTATTATTATTATTATTCACATTATTTATTTTATTTTTCTTCGTGGCTTGAGTCAGTTTTGTCTGAGTTTAATTGTGTTTCTGCCACTGTTTATGGGCGCATAAGTGTCTCTTCGTTGGAAAGAGGAATGGGACAGTTGGAGGCGGGAGACAATTTGTTTACGTTTCAATCGAATTTCCCTGCAAGTCTTTCGCCCATATTGCCCTGACGATAGCGTTTTTAAGTGTGGCAATTTTAGACCAATAAAAAAAAAAAAAAAAAAAAAAGACGATATTGCTAACGGCAGAAGTGCTGAAAACATCCTGTCTACGGCCATTTGGCATCTCCTAAGAGAAAAAAAAAGATAGAAAAGAATATATCGAGGCGGAAGACATATATATCAAGACGTGAAGCCGGAAGTCGGAAATAAGATCAGTCCTTGAAAAGAGTTTAGAGGAGTGCAGATGAGGAAAATGAAAGAAGGGCGATAGGAACGTAAGTAAAAGAAAGAAAGAAAGAAAGAAAGAAAGAAAGAAAGAAAGAAAGAAAGAAAGAAAAACTTTCTAAAAAATACATAATCAATAAAGACTGAATGAGAAGGGAAAAAGAATTAAAGTAAAATGGTAGAGAAGGATGAAAAAGAAAGAGAAATATATATAGAAGAAGAAGAAGAAGAAGAAGAAGAAGGGTGAGGAATAAGAGGATAAAGAGAAGGAAGTGGAAATAGGTGAGAGTGAAGGAAAAGAGGAATAAAGAAGAAGAAAAAACAGAAGGAAGAAAGAAGGGAAGAAAGAGAAGAAAGAGAAGGATAAAAAGGAAAGGAATAAAAATGAAGAAAAGAAGAAATGATGAAGATGAAATGATGAAAGGAGGATAACGAAGGAGGAGAATGAGCAAGAAAAGAATGAGAATGAATAAAAAGATGAAAAATGAAAAAATAAAGAACATGAAAAGAAGAATAAGAACAGGTGGTATAATAATAATAATAATAATAATAATAATAATAATAATAAGAAGAAGAAGAAGAAGAAGAAGAAGAAGAAGAAGGAAAAGAAGAAAGAAGAAGAAGAAGAAGAAGAAGAAGAAGAAATAAGGAGAGAAAGAAGTAGAAGAAAAACAAGTAGTAGAAACGTAAGAAAAAAAGAAAAAGAAATGTAAAAGAGGACTGGAAAAAAAAAGAAAAGAGGGAAAATTGTTCGATGGAAAGTTTGTGTGAAGGAAACAAGCAGACGAGGTAAATCTTTGAAGTAAAAAAAGACAAAGAAAAAGAAGAAGAGCGGTATAATAATAATAATAATAATAATAATAATAATAATAATAATAATAATAATGATAATAATAATAATAAAAGAAGAAGAAGAAAAAGAATATAAGAGCGGAATAATAATAATAATAATAATAATAATAATAATAATAAGAAGAAGAAGAAGAAGAAGAAGAAGAAGAAAAAAAGAAGAAGAGGAAGTAAAAAAAGTATAAAAGAGAATTCAAAAAAGAAAGGAGAGAGAGAAAAGTTGTTAAAGAAATTTTTTGTGAAGAAAATAAACAGATGAAGAAAATATTCGAAGTAGAAAAAGAAAAAGAAAATAATCAGAAGAAAAGTAAAAAGAAATAGAAGAAAAGGAAGTAAACAAAGAATTAGAAAAAATAAAAATAAAATAAAACAAGAAAAGAAAAGAAAGAAAGAAGACGTATACATGGAATCTATACAATAAGTCACAGCTACGATGTCAAATTATAATATCATAAAATCATCTAATGCATATAATGCGAAAATAATGTCATCAGCTTCAGTAAAAATATGAAGCAAAAATCAGTTGGAACCATTAATAACAGATTCAGCAAAATAGGGCAAAGGGTGATAAAAAGAAAACAATATTAAGAAAATATTGGAAAAAAAACGAAAAGGTCAATGGACAGAAAGAAAAAAAGAGAAAAAATGTCTTTTCACGATACGAACGACTAGTTTACCTCTTTTCTCTGTTACCTCATCTTCTTACTTTTTTTCTTCTTTCATATAATCAATTATTTCTTCCTCTTTTTTTACTTTATTTTATTGGCTTCTAGTCTCTCTTTTTTCTTTTTCTTTCTTCTTTTATATCATCAATTCATTCTTCCTCTTTTTCTTACATTATTTTATTGGTTTCTTCTTGTCTTTCTTTTTTTTCTTTCTTCTTTTATATAATGAATTCTTTCTTCCTCTTTTTTAATTTATTTAATTGTCTTCTTCTCGTCCTTCTTTTTTCTTTTTCTTTCTTCTTTTATATAATCAATTCTTTCTTCCTCTTTTTTTCTTTATTTTATTGGCTTATTCTAGTCATTTTTTTTCTTTTTCTTTCTTCTTTTATATAATCAATTCTTTCTTCCTCTTTTTTTCTTTATTTTATTGGCTTATTCTAGTCATTTTTTTTCTTTTTCTTTCTTCTTTTATATAATCAATTCTTTCTCCCTCTTTTTTCCTTTATTTTATTGGCTTATTCTAGTCACTTTTTTTCTTTTTCTTTCTTCTTTTATATCAACAATTCTTTCTTCCTCTTGTTTTGCTTTAATTTATTGGCTTCTTCTATTTTTCTTTTTTTTTTCGCCTTTTATATCAACAAATATTTCTTCCTATTTTTTACTTTATTTTATTGGCTTCTTCTATTTTTCTTTTTCCTTTTTTTTTCGCCTTTTATATCATCAATTATTTATTCCTATTTTTTACTTTATTTTATTGTCTTCTTGTTCTGTTTCCTTTTTCATTTTCTTTCTTCTTTTATATCATCAATTATTTCTTCCTATTTTTTATTTATTTTATTGGCTTCTTCTAGTCCTTCGTTTTTCTTTTTTTTCTTCTTTTATATAATAAATTATTTCTTCCTCTTTTTTGTTTATTTTATTGGCTTCTTCTTGTCTTTCTTTTTTCTTTTTCTTTCTTCTTTTATATAATCAATTCTTTCTTCCTCTTTTTTATTTTATTTTATTGGCTTCTTCTAGTCGTTCTTTTTCTTTTTCTTTCTTTTTAATATCATCAATTCTTTCTTCTTCTTTTTTTACTTTATTTTATTGGCTTCTTCTTGTCTTTCTTTTTTCTTTTTCTTTCTTCTTTTATATCATCAATTCTTTCTTCCTCTTTTTTTACTTTATTTTATTGCCTTATTCTAGTCTTTCTTTTCCTTCCTTTCTTTCTTTCTTTCTTGTTAGAACTATAACATCTCCTGTAGTTGTGAAACCTATTTTTCTGAAACTCTGTTTTAAGACAAAAACTAAATGAATTTCAACCAATAGCAGCATTCCATGCTCTGCTAAAGAATAGCAAATGTTTCCTTATAAAGAATTGGCTTATATTTCTATTATCATTTTGCTGTGCTTTTTTTTCCTTCTTTGTTATTTTTCTTGGTCAAAACCCGAGAAACGACAGGGTCGACAGAAACGTGTTGATGAAGCAGACGCAGTAAGAGAAATCAGAAGAAAATGATGTGACATGGAAGAAATGAAGAAAATTAAGAAAAAAGAAGAAAATAGAATGAAAAGATGTAGAGAATTATATAGCGAATAACAGAAGAATAAAATAATGGTGAAAACTTTTTTTATAGAAAAGGATTCATTGGAAACTCAAAAAATGAATGAGTTGAAGAAGAAGACGACGAAGAAGAAAAATAAAAATAAACAAGAATTAGGGGACGAGGAGGAGAATTAGAAGAATGAGTAGAAGAAGAAGGGGAAAATATGATGATGATGAGGAGGAGGAGATTCAAATGAAGAAGAAGAAAATATGATCATGATGAAGAGTAAGAAGAGGAAAAACTTGATGATTAACAGGAGGAGGAAAAGAAATTATATGATGAGTAGGAGAAGGAAGAGGAAGAAAAAAATGATGAGGAGAAAAAAGAACGAAGATTAAAGAGTAGAAGAAGAAGAGGAATAATATGATGAAGAGGAGGAGGAAGAAGAGAAAGATGATGATGATGATGATGATTAGGAGGAAGGGGGGAGAAGAAAAGAAAAGAAGAAAGAAGAGTAAATAGAAGAAGAAAATTACAAAAGAAAAGAAGGAAAGACATTTTAAAAGAAAAGGATTCATTGGACAAGAAAAGTAATGAATGAGAAGAAGAAGAAGAAGAAGAAGAAGAAGAAGAAGAAGAAGAAGAAGAAGAAGAAGAAGAAGAAGAAGAAGAAGAAGAAGAAGAAGAAGAAGAAGAAGAAGAAGAAGAAGAAGAAGAAGAAGAAGAAGAAGAAGAAGAAGAAGAAGAAGAAGAAGAAGAAGAAGAAGAAGAAGAAGAAGAAGAAGAAGAAGAAGAAGAAGAAGAAGAAGAAGAAGAAGAAGAAGAAGAAGAAGAAGAAGAAGAAGAAGAAGAAGAAGAAGAAGAAGAAGAAGAAGAAGAAGAAGAAGAAGAAGAAGAAGAAAAGAAGAAGAAGAAGAAGAAGAAGAAGAAGAAGAAGAAGAAGAAGAAGAAGAAGAAGAAGAAGAAGAAGAAGAAGAAGAAGAAGAAGAAGAAGAAGAAGAAGAAGAAGAAGAAGAAGAAGAAGAAGAAGAAGAAGAAGAAGAAGAAGAAGAAGAAGAAGAAGAAGAAGAAGAAGAAGAAGAAGAAGAAGAAGAAGAAGAAGAAGAAGAAGAAGAAGAAGAAGAAGAAGAAGAAGAAGAAGAAGAAGAAGAAGAAGAAGAAGAAGAAGAAGAAGAAGAAGAAGAAGAAGAAGAAGAAGAAGAAGAAGAAGAAGAAGAAGAAGAAGAAGAAGAAGAAGAAGAAGAAGAAGAAGAAGAAGAAGAAGAAGAAGAAGAAGAAGAAGAAGAAGAAGAAGAAGAAGAAGAAGAAGAAGAAGAAGAAGAAGAAGAAGAAGAAGAAGAAGAAGAAGAAGAAGAAGAAGAAGAAGAAGAAGAAGAAGAAGAAGAAGAAGAAGAAGAAGAAGAAGAAGAAGAAGAAGAAGAAGAAGAAGAAGAAGAAGAAGAAGAAGAAGAAGAAGAAGAAGAAGAAGAAGAAGAAGAAGAAGAAGAAGAAGAAGAAAGGAGTGGCACTTGTGGGGACAAAAGGAAATTAAAGAATTATAAATGAAGAAAGGCAACAACAACAACAGCTTCTATTAATTCCCAAACTGAAACTTCTACTCAAAGTCTTGGTAATAACAATAATAAAAACAGTCCCAAAAACAGTGTGGCGTCAGCCAGCAACAGTACAATCAATTCTGACAATGCCAGATCTGAAATACCATCTTCCGCTGGCAGTGCTGGAAATGGTAACAGTAAAAATTCTGGCACTAAGGATAAGTATCAATCTCTCAATTCCTATTGTCTGCAGTTATACAGCAATGAAAGCCCAGAATATGATACTTGTGGCATGAGATAATTCACTAGCCGCTTTTTATTGAGCACTCCAGCCCAGGAACTGTTGCACAATGTTCAGGAGGAATATCAGGGTAAATTTCTTAGGAAAACATGGGAAGGATGATGATGATAATTATGATGATGGTCATCATCATCATCATCATCATCAAGATCTTCCTCCTCCTCCTCCTCCTCATCATCATCCCGTTGACGTTTGTACTCGTAAATGATCCGAATGCCGAAGCCATATTGAATCTCCTTCACAAAGTTCTTTCAACGGCAACCCTCAGCAATTCTGGTATAGTCATACTTGTCCATTACTTGACATTGTCCAACCAGTTTTTGCGTTGGCTTCCTCTCTTCCAAATACTTTCAATTCTGTTTTGCATGATATTCACGCACAGGCTGTCGTGACTTGTAACGTGTCCAAACTACGCTATTTTCTTTTAACATTTAGACACTGACTGATATTTCAGTTCTTTAACTGAAATATCAGTCAGTTATGTGCCATAGGTGTTGCACGCTTAGGTGATCAATGTATCTTCGGATACATGACTGATGAAGAAGATTTTTCCCCGCAGTAGGTTGCCATTTTTCTCTGCAGTAGACTAGTTGCCATCGAACGCTATAGAACCCAGTTTGTCCTGCTATTTACCTATAGCTGGTGGGGAGGGGGGTTATGGAGAGGATTCATACCTTTCACAAAAGTATTAGCACAAAAATGAATGTAATGGATTTGTCCGTCAGTTATTTATGTGCCATGCGTGATACTTGCTTAGGCGATCGTGTATCTTTAAATACATGACTGATGAGGCAGTTTTTTTTTCCCGCATTACGTTACCATTTCTTTCTGCGGTAGACCAGCAGCCATCCACGGCTATAGAACCCGGTGTGTCCTGCTATTTACCCATAGCTGTGGGGGTAGGAGAGGATTCTGTTACAGTTTTTTGGATATATGTGTGTACTAGTGAGCTAGCCAAAATGAGCTGACTCATTTTATAGTCTACCAATAGAAGGGTTAACCAATCAGAAGGCTCAAAATATTCAATGTGACGTGTATAAAGTCAGTCATATTGTTTTTCTCCCAAATTATCCTCACTGCCAACCTGATATCGAAGACTTAAAGAATTACTTAACAGCCGCTACTTTTTGTGAATCTTCACTGCCAAACTCTGATAGTGAACACATTACGGACTTCACTGGATTCCATATTCAGAGACTACGGCAAACATGGTCAACAGATTCATACCTCTCCCAAGGGTATTAGAACGTAAGTGAATATAATGGATTCGACTGGAATTCCAGCTCAAGAGCCGTTATCCATTACTCCACCGTGTAAGAAAAGAGACTTAAACTAATTATACGATATAAATAAATTTCAGAAGGCAAGAAAGAAGGAC